TGTTGTGTAGCCTAGTCTGGTCGAGAGTATCGACCAGTCTCGCTGTTTCCCTTCCAACACTAATGCCATCGTATGTGTGGATTGTGGGGAGGACGCTCGAGAGGAGGGTCGCGAAGAGGGACATGTGCTGAGCCTCAAAGACAGACGGGCTGCAGACGAGCCCAAGGCCTAGGTCTTCGGCGAGTGTGAGGGAGGAGACATAGTCGGTGACGAGGCCAGCGCTAGAGTTGGCGGAGTAGTCGACTGCGGCGATGTGGGCGGTCAAAGGGTTTGCGACCGAGTAGAGGGCGGAGAGCTGGTCGAGCGAGGCGCGTAGGTAGTTCAGCGTAGAAGAGGAGGCGACGATGGACTGGGGGATATGGCGCTTCTTCAAGTCATAGTCCTTGGAGAACATGTAACCCAGGGCGATGGCACCAGCACCGGTCCTCGTCTCAAGGGATGAGACACCAGTCTGGTAGCCGAAAGCATTCTTCTCGCCCTGTTCTTGCCAGTACTTGACTGCGACATCCAAGTCGAACGACTCAGCCGAGTATGCGAAAATCTTATCTGAGAGGGCGTATGCGACCTGCTGTACGAGAGTTTGGGCCGTGAGGTAGGTGGGGCCACCGATAGATTGGTAGGAGAGGTCCTGACCAAACGGTAGACTGGACGACTTCTTGGAGAAGTCCTTGGGTGCATTCTGCTCAGCACCAGGGCCGGCAGACTCAGTCTGTTGGAAATGCATCTTGATAACAAGTATGCGCCTCAGCAAATCAGCCTCTCAAACAAGGCAGTGAGAGTCTCTCTTTGGGGTATGCGAGAGAATGAGAGGTGCCACAACTCTCCGGAGGCTTCACCGTGGGAGTATATGCGTGTCGTGGGTTTGCCGCCTCGTAGCAGCCAAAAAGTGCCGTCGTCCAGTAGCGACATCGGCAGAAGACCGACCGAGCAAGACGCAATCCTTCACAGACACCATGATTGGCCCTGTCCAGATGCTCTAGCACGTCTTTCGGGCGATAGATTGCAAATGCGCGGAATGTCGCCTTGACGCGACGAGAATTTGGCCTTAGCGCGAATTGCGTGCTCGACACGCCAAGAGTCTGCGCACGTGACGGCGGGGAAATCACGGCTCTCGGAGATCTGATCAGCAACGCCGTCTCGTCTCGTCTCGTCTCGTCATCCGCTGTCCTTCGCGCGAGGCATTGTCGCCCAACACCTGGCAAATTCCCGTTGCGACGCTGGACTTTTACTCCAACGATAACCGGCAGGTTTTTTCATTACTGCATGCTCTGCGCGCCTAGGTGACACTACACAAGGCTGAGCATGAACGACTAGACGCATGAACCGGGCGCGTGCATATGGATCCAATGCCATACTGTATGCGCGCAGCGGTGCAACTCATTGCAGGATTGATTTGACCGTATGTGGGTTGTGTATACCTATTGTACGCCCTTGGCGTCGTACAAATAACATTCGACAACTACAGGCCACAGCACTGCGCCTCCATCATGGCCACTTCATATCCCGCTGCTTTGCTTCTATAGAGTTTACTGGGATGAGGCGAGATCCTTCGACTAATCTCTTCACGTTCACAATCTCATAATGGAAGCCATCGGCCTAGTGGCCAGCATAATCACCCTCATCAGCGCAGCCAGCCATGTCGCCTCCCTCCTCGAACGAGTGTTGGGCCTCCGCGGCATCCCACTTTACGTCCTTGGGGCAATCAATGAAGTTACCGACTTCAAGGCAACTCTGACTCTGGTACAGACTGCAGTAGATGGAACTCAGCATCAGCTTCCGCAGGCCTATCGGGCGGAATACAACAGGCTTTTGGATCGAGCAATGGGCTGTATGGACGCCTTCACGAAGTACCTACAAAGAAATATCCTACGCGAGCGAGAAGAAGTAGCCGGCGCTGGAAAAGTCATCGAGCTGAAGAGACGTGTGAAGTGGATGGACGTGTTGGGAAGAGGCCAAGCGCAATGTCAGATCGACGCATTTCAGCAGGAGCTGACTTCCTTGAAACTCAACCTTGTATTGGCGATGAGTGCGACGAATTTGTGAGTTGCGACTCGTCTTCATAGGTCGCATGCCAGGGCCGCGAGAGACAGCTAGATCAGGCATTGTTCATGGGCCAGTCGGCTAATCTTGTGCATCTAGAAAAACTACGACTAGGCTGTCTACCATCATTCAAGATGTTACTATCGTTCACATGGGAGAAGTATCTGGAGAGCCATTAGTTAACGGCAACGCGATCGATCTACCGTACGCGATGGAGAAAGCGGCATGTATGAGCACAATCTCATCAACCACTGATAACACCACGATTGACCAGAACGACTTCACGTCTTATGTCAAAATCGAAACCAAAGAAACTGCGACGAATCGGACTTGCAGGTCATCATGTCCTTGCGACTGCCATGTACCATGTCAGGGTACCACACCAAGATGGCTACGGTGTTTGATAGGTGTCGCATTCTTTAAACTCACTTCAGCACCTTTACTCAACCGCCGGTCATGTAACTACGGCCTCTGTCATCAAAAGTCGAACGGAACAGGGTCACTGTATTTTCGCTACCTTTTCCCGATCTGGCTCTTGCCCCTTGGAATTGAAGTTGCAGCATCTTGGCGTTCACTGGGTGGTGTTGGCGGGACCTGGAGTCTCAAAATACCGCGAGTCATCACAGATTATTGGCCGGGAAGAGAATTGCGTCGAGCCATAGCTTATGGAACTGTACTGGATATGCAGCGGGCCATGCAGCTTTATGGAGTCAAAAGCATCGACATGTTATTGTCCGGTCAAGAGCCTGAGTCATTCCTCGAAATAAGCGCGTAATCACCCATCTGTGGGCCTGCTAACATCTTTGTGAAGTTCGCTTTGAGGCGAAGATGCTCCGTGCGTCTCATTACGATGCTCTTGGATGAGGGAGTGAACGTGAATTATGTGGCGCGCGTAAACAATATGTAAGCCTCGCTGAAGCCGTCTCAATATATGGGCTGATGACTGTAGAACTCCTGCCCAGTTTCTAGGCGTCTCTCGTCGATCGGGTGTGTTACCCCACGAGCTAAATAGTAGACCAGATCTACATGACATCTGTGATGCGCTTGATCTCGCTCCCGCTACAGAGCTGTTGCTCGAAGGGTCCATAGAACACCTAAGGGACCTTCTCCGACTTCAACCGAGCGCTGCGCTTGTTCGAGATTCGATGAGAAAGACTCCGCTTCATTGGGCTGCGTTTCTGAAGAATGATGAGGCCGTAGATGTGCTGATCGAGGCTGGCGCGGATTTAGATGCCGTCGGGGATGATGGTATGACCCCATTTTATGATACGCTTGGCGGTCCAGCCCCATCACGCGCGATTTGCATCAAGATGATCCAGGCTGGCTCAAACGTCAATCATACTACACCTTGGGGAGTAAGCCCTCTCGAAACTGCCGTTGAGTTAAGTTCTTGCGTTTCGGTTGTCGACATTTTGATAGACGCTGGATCGAATGTGCACCATGTTCGAGATGGTTTGAATCTTCTACACACTGTGGCTATGAGTGGTACATATATCGTCTGCGAAGACCTAATACGCGCTGGCGCCGACATTGACGCTCACACTCCCACCGGCGAGACAGCAGTTATGAAGGCAGTACAGCACAACAATCATTCGGTACTCAGTATGCTTATATATCACGGCGCTCAGCTTAACAGCCTTACACTTACAGGTTTCTCGATCCTGCATTGGGCAGCCTTACAGGGCGATATCGAGACTATGCAGATACTCGAGCAAGCATGCATAGAAGGCCTGCGAATGGATGAAAGAGACCTACAATTGGTTTGGGGGTGTTTTGATCGTCGCGATCGGTACATCTATCCACAACATCGAGCACTTCTAGAGGTCGAAGAAGCCGCTTTCCAGGCTCTCATCAATAGCATTACCTTCGCAGAATGTGCCACGTCGGAGGCTGAAGATCATAAACTCTCTGATGCTATGTGTATGCCCGGGGCGTTTCCAGTCGATCTAGACGACACCGATTGCGACAGTCCGGTCGCAGAGGCCCTTGAACAGGATGATGACTACGGACAAGAAGAAGGGAGAGATAGCGACGATGAATTGTGGGTTACCCCCTACGATAACCATCCAAGCGGCGAAGAGCGTTTGGAAGCTGCAAGCGATGATGGGGACGACACATTAATTGAAGACTAAAATCACTTGGGCAAAGTCGACAGGGAATGCTACATGCGATTTGTACCTTTAATCATGTTTCGATAATCGTGTATTAGGAGCACGCGCTTCCAAACTCGCTATCACAACTCCTATTTCTTATTGTGTGTCACGGAGGACTTGATCATGTTCCAACAATGCGCTGGAAATGTTGAGGGTATGCATTATGGTTGCTCGCGATTCCCTTCACGTTCCGTTTGGCTATTTCATCATCCGCAATGACCATGACTTTTCTCATCATCCTTCTGACACCTACTGTATAGCTGGATCGACAAGACACATGCACCTTCAAGATAAGCCTCACCAAGCAACACCGCTCCACATCGACGCGAACTACCGCAGTTGGCAATAGCCATGGGCGATCTTTGATCTCCCCAGTGATCACGATCGTCACAATGCCTTACTAGATCGCATGTAGCTTTTGTCACATAGAATGGCGAATAAGAATGACTCTCCAATGTTGCGATGATGTCAAAACCTCCACGCGGAAGTGAGGTGCCGACGCGAACGAGTCGCGATGTTCGTGATCAGCACGCGGAGACCTTTACCGCGCCACGCTTATCGTCATAACATCGTAACATGCACAACATCACGATCCTGAGTCTAGTCTCCACTAACCGTGCGATTGCATCACAGCAATAGGGTCGCCGACTATTCGAAGATGAAATAGCTATTTGATGGCTTGTCGCACCTTTCCAATACCCTAAGTAACAAAACAAGGCACCCTAGTATACCCAGGTATCGTGACCATCTAGAGGTCTTGACCACCATCCTCCTCTCTCAAGGCCTCCATAACAAACACACCCCAAAATGGCACTCCACGCCGCCTCCTCACCCAAAAAAGTCGACCAAACCCTCCAACAAACCCCCGGCATCCAAATCTTCCTTCAACCCATCGCCCCGCCCGCCGCCCTCGGTCTCGCCGGCTTCGCAGGCTCAACATGGATAACCTCATCCTACATCGCCAACTGGTGGGGCAACCCGGAGTCACCAACCATCTTCTTCCCGTTCGTGGGTCTGTTCGGCGGACTAGCGCAGTTCATCGCAGGACTATATGGGTTCAAAGCGAGGGATACGTTGGTGACGGTGATAAATACCATGTGGGGAAGTTTTTGGATAAGTATTGGGATTTTGTATGCTTTTGTTGTAAGTGTTGATGGTTTATGAGGGGGGTTTGAACTAGGGTAGGGGATGATGGGCTAACGACGGTAATGACAGGCGGCTGGTGCATTGGAACCACATGAAGTGCACACGCACTTCCCCGAACTCGCGTCCTGGTTCGTGATACTTTGCGTCTTCACCTGGTCGGGCGCGCTCGCAGCGACGGCACGCGACATCGTGCTCAGCGTCTGTCTCTTCTCTCTGGCTATCGGCAGTACGATCGCTTGTTGCATGTTCGCATACAATGGTCGTCCCATCACCACCGCGGACACTAGCGCGTCGGGTGATAGTCTCACTGGCGGAGTAACGATGGGGATGAAGGCTGCAAGCTACTTCTGGATGTTGTCCGCCCTCTGTGCTTGGTGGAGAGTGACGGTGTATCTCGTCGAAGAGGCATATGGACCTGATCACACGATCACGAAGTTCTTCCCTATTGGTAGGACGCCGATGGAGAGAAGGGCTCCTTTGGTTATTCCGGGTCTGGGCGAGCCTGGTGTTAAGAGGGGTGTTCCGAAGCCGTTGCCGGTATGATGGAATGTGCATCAAGCTGAGGCTGGTGTTTGTGGCGGCCGTTTGGCGTATCCAAGACCCGTGGCCCATCGCCAGATGTATGACATTGTTAGATAAGCATCCACATACAAGTTTGGAGAGTTTGTATCTGCTACACCTCGCTTCCAAGGTTGGCTTTGAGGATGTCTTTGTCATGACGTGCAATATAGATGGACGTGCTGCTGTACCCCATGCTATATCGCTGCTGAGCAGGATATTTTGGGGATCGAGTCGTTCTGTCGTGTCGGGCAACGCATGCTGGGACAATTAGCTATCATTGTCCGAGAGAATGTCATTTGAGGTATATGTGAACAGCAAACAAAGTCAAATTCGAGTCCTGGGTATCCAAAAATGCAGCGCATACACGACGGCTGTTTCCAATGCTTCCTCATCTCTTCCAGTAATTACGCCTTGGCAGTCCGCATATTCCTGCAATATTCACAAACTCTTCCTCTTCACAACATAAGTCTGCAGAGTGCCGCACCTCGCAGAGAATCTTGTCAACCATGCGAGCGAAACGAACTCGGTGCGACCCATTCGACAGTAAAGCCGGCTGACGGGTACCTGTTCGCGTGCGAGCTGTACCGAGCACTGGCTAAGCCCATGTAGCCAGTAGGCAGCAGGATCATTGGCTATAATGTAGCACATGGCCGTGAAGAGGTCGCTATTACAGTCCGCTTTCTTCCTGGGAACACAATGAGCTCATACTAGCGCGGTCAGCGAACTGAACCAAGCCAGCGATCTCTTGTGCAGTACTTCGTCACCATCAGTCTCCTTAGAATCGGTATCTGTAGAGTGAGGCAGGGGTAACGTATCCCCGTCCCGAGCCGCATCATCGTACTACTGAAGGTCTGCATCTGCGGGCATGACAAATCCAGTGTCGCCGAAGTCTTGCAAGACGTACTCAGCCAGGGCGTCTAATCTTTTCCGCTGGACATGGAGTGCGCCGCTCCTGAGATCCCTATCGCGCTGGCTCATGTTGCTAAGTAATGAGGGTGCTTTCCCTTTGATGGTCAAATGCTGTTCGTTGCTTGAACTAGGACGTGAAACTGGGTCGTCGGCCTCTGGGTATCGTGGGTCTCCCTGTCCTTCGGCCGAGATCTTGAAGCCCTGCTTCTTGCCGGGGGCGATTCTACCGATGAGAACGAGCAGTAGCTCTGGTTGCAATAGGCGTACTATGATATTACAATCCGGAGTCTCGATGGTGAGTGTCCTGAGTGCAGGTTGCAGCGACTGGTCCTGGGTAGCTCCATTGCGGGTCGATGGCTTTTGACGTCCTTGGCAGTTGTCTTTCCATGTCATAGATATTAGGGCAGCCTGATCGCGAAGCTCCTTGGTCTGGACAGGCTTTGAGTACGCTAATAGTGTGCCATTTGGAGACATCAAGCTACTGAAGTTAGTTGGAATAACAGTGTATGGTACTTGAAACCTACAAGAGTCTTGGGTAGATGTGTTCGTTTGCATTCTGCGTGAGCCAGTCGCTCACTTTAGCGATGTTGATCATTGCGGGATCTGCAGACATGATTAGACGGGGAAGCTGTAGGTGTTAAGAACTAAAAATGAAGAATAGACGGTGCGAGGGAAGCTTTTAGCGACGTGTGAGCATGTAGCGAGTACCACGCGCTGCAACGAATGGATTTGATTTGGATGACGGCGATGTGAAAGAAGGCCCACGTACCTGGTCAATCGTTGGCGCAACCACTTCCGCGCTGTCGTGCTGCTAATTCACCGATCTGCGCCTTCTCTGAGACCAAAAGCGGATACAACGGCCAGCGACGCGTCGCAACAGTAAGGAACGCGTTAGAACACGAGAAGGAACGGATGGGATCACGAGAGAGAAGTTGCGCGTGTCAGTATCTTGATCATGACGATGTTCACGACGAAGTTCCCCAGGAGAGAGCTATGACCACCTGGGCTGGCCGGAGCCTTGTTTTCCGCCGCACGTGCTCTCGTGATCATGCTATGAAGAGCTTGTATTGTTGCAGCCTAGTATCATGTTGCTTGGAGATGCTACCCAGGTTTCGTGCATCTACACATCATGACGGGACTCAGACGCAGGGTATATCTTTGAGCCGGATCACGGGTGGAGTGTGATTCGAAGGAATGGCCCGTGCGCACGCGACACGACGATGTTCTTGGATGACACGCGCGTTACAACGATATCGACCTGACGTACATCTCCAGATCTGAGTAGACAGTGCTCATGTTTGATGTGGACGTCACAGGACGATTCGTCGTTCGCACGCATTCGAGATGCCTTCTACCCCACCGGGCTGATCTCCGAGCAAATGCCGGGTGAGGGGCAATTGGCAGCTCTTCATTGGATCGCAGACGTCATCAGCCTTAGAATCTGTTTCCCCTCAATTGCGCTGCGACACTGCTAGAGAGCTCAATCAATGCTTTTCACGCGTCTCGCAATACCAAGAACATTACGAGTAGTCGCATCATCTGCATTTCGTCCTCTCAAATCAAACGACACACCAAGCTTCCTCGTGCGAACACTAGCAACCATGGCGACAGATCCATCCAAGTACAGGCTCAACCACTCCATGTGAGTACCCGCATGTCATTCCCTGCACCATCCCCATACCATTGGCTAGTTACCAACATATGCTAGGATCCGGATCAAGGATCCGAAGCGATCTGTCCAGTTCTATGAGTTCCTTGGAATGAAGCAGATCAACCAGATCAAGAACCCCGACGCCAAGTTCGACCTCTACTTCCTCGCGTACGATAGCCCGAAGGCCGTCTCACACGGCAACCACTGGACCGACCGTGAGGGAATTGTCGAGTTGACGCACAACTACGGCACCGAAGACGATCCGAACTACAAGATTAGCAATGGCAACACGGAACCACACAAAGGCTTCGGCCACCTCTGCATCTCGGTGGACAATCTACAGGCAGCTTGCCAGAGGCTAGAAGATGCGGGCTACAAGTTCCAGAAGAAGCTCACAGACGGTCGCATGCGCCACATCGCGTTCGTACTCGACCCTGATGGCTATTGGGTGGAGGTCATTGGCCAGAAGCCATTGGAGGAGACCGAGAATGTCAAGGATACCGACACAGGCTCATACCGCATGGTAAGTAGCGTTGGGAAGACATTACGATGGTATACTGATGATTGCAGAACCACACTATGATCCGCGTCAAGGACAAGGAGGCCTCACTCAACTTCTACCAAGATGTCATGGGCATGAAACTTAAGCGCACCTCTGAAAATGAAAGCGCTAAGTTCAACCTGTACTTCCTTGGATACGGCCCCGATGCATCCGAAAACACCGCAAACGGCGTCAACCCGGTAGCCAACACCGAAGGCCTGCTTGAGCTGACCTACAACTATGGAACCGAGAACGATGCAAACTTAAAGTACCACAACGGCAACGACGAACCCCAAGGATTCGGTCACATCTGCATTGCTGTCGACGATCTCGACGCCGCGTGTGCTCGGTTCGAAGAGAAGAAGGTCAACTGGAAGAAGAGGCTTACTGACGGTCGCATGAAGAACATCGCTTTCGTACTAGGTGGGTCGTTATCTATCCATCGCACGAAGCGACAACTGACAGAATACGCAGATCCCGATGGTTACTGGATCGAGGTAGTGCAAAACGAGAAGCTCAAGACACGTAGCAATTGGTAAACGGGCGGCGCCGACTACCCGCGTGATGTGCATATCCCACTCTACAGCAATTCAGCCTCCAATCGTTGAAGATCACACCATATGTGGTTACCCACGCTGCGCAACATATGCACAGTATAGTACCATGACGGATGCGAGCGCTGGCGGTACGACAACAATAACTGAATAATGAAACACGTTCTCCAATACATCGATTTTCTTTCAACGGTTTCTCTCATGAATATTATTAACATCGTCCCTACAAAGTTCCGAGGGCGTTGTTCGATACCTAGGTAACTCGCCAAATTGACCCTGCAGCAGCGGCGCTCACCCCGTGGGGTAGAAGGAGTGCGGGGTAAACCTAGCCAACAGGTAAGGCTACCACAAAGACATCCCTCTGACGCATACTACTGCAGTAGACCGATAGCGGCGCAGTCTTACTCTGGATGTACAAAATGGAGTGTACTCCTCCTGTAGGCTTTGCGCTTACATTTCATACAGTCTCACGTAAACTTGAGGTCAACACCATAACCGACACATACCCTTGATCAACTCACTGAAACTCTTTCATACCTAGCTACTTGAGTCCAATAAGTGCCGGCAAGAACAGCACAAACCGATACCCGGCAACATGGCTATCCTCCTGCACACAGCGAGACGGAAGATTTTGATACCAGAGAAGGTCTCGCCAGATGGACTGGCATTACTCAAAGACCAATTCGATGTAGATGAGAAGAAAGGCCTAAGTCCAGAAGAGCTCAAGGAAATCATCGGCGAATATGACGCCCTCATCGTACGGTCGGAAACGAAGGTGACGGCCGAGCTTCTGGGTGCCGCCAAGAACATGAAAGTCGTTGCGCGTGCCG